AAAGCCCCCCCCCCCCCCCCCCCCCGTAACAACCATCTTAAAACCATATGATGCAACCATGTCAAAAAATCATCTTAGCGACTTGCTAGACTTCCCATGGCCTTGATTATATTCCTGTTGTAGTAATACAAACTTCTAAAAATTGAGAAGCGGGTGAATTCCTTTTAATGACCTAGTATGTTCAGAACCTTTCTCCAGCCGTTCGGTCACCGACACAACAAGCATTATAAACACGGACTGGACACGCCGACACAGCCGGCATTGTAAACACGGACTGGACACGCCGATACAGCCAACATTGTACACACGGACTGGACACACCAACACAGCCAACATTGTACACACAGACTGTACACCGACAAGGCCAACATTGCACACACAGACTGTACACACCGACACGGCCAGCATTATACACACAGACTGTACACAGATCAATAAAAATAAAACAACTTTATAAGAAATAAATAAATTTTTAAAAATGACATTTCTCATTTCATTTTAATTGTCCCCAGGGCTGCCAACAAGGCCCTCTTGATTTTCGGACAGTCCGTTACAACTGTGACCTGTTCTTAATAGTCTGTAAATAAATTGTGGACGCCCTTCAAAATAGAGGAATTTTACTAATGACATTTGAAAGGAACAAAACTGGAATTATAGCATTTGTGATTATCTCCTCCCCCCCCTTTACAGTTATACCCCCCCCCCCCCCCACAACCACCAACGCCATTGACTGATGTAAACGTGGGTCAGTAACCGTCAAGAGACCTAACACAGCATATTGCTGCCAATGCAGAGTAGGAAACATGCGAGATTTGAGTTTGTGACTTAACAAATAAAGAATTTGACTTGTGACTCAAAGAAATGATGACTTTTTGACTCAACCGATCTATGGCAATACGTTTGTGACTCAAACAATATTTGACTTTGGGACTTGAAAAAAAAAAAGATTTTGTGACCCTGGCAAAATATGACTAGGTGCCCCTAGTTAACTATAACTTGGTGACCCTGGCAAACAATGACATTGTGACCCTGGCAAACTATGACATTGTGACCCTGGCAAACTATGACTTTGTGACCCTGGCAAACTATGACTTTGTGACCCTGGCAAACTATGACTTTGTGACCCTGGCAAACTATGACATTGTGACCCTGGCAAACTATGACTTTGTGACCCTGGCAAACAATGATATTGTGACCCTGGCAAACTATGACTTTGTGACCCTGGCAAACTATGACTTTGTGACCCTGGCAAACAATGATATTGTGACCCTGGCAAACTATGACTTTGTGACCCTAGCAAACTATGACTTTGTGACCCTGGCAAACAATGATATTGTGACCCTGGCAAACTATGACTTTGTGACCCTGGCAAACTATGACTTTGTGACCCTGGCAAACTATGACATTGTGACCCTGGCAAACTATGACTTTGTGACCCTGGCAAACTATGACATTGTGACCCTGGCAAACTATGACTTTGTGACCCTGGCAAACTATGACATTGTGACCCTGGCAAACTATGACTTTGTGACCCTGGCAAACTATGACATTGTGACCCTGGCAAACTATGACTTTGTGACCCTGGCAAACTATGACATTGTGACCCTGGCAAACTATGACTTTGTGACCCTGGCAAACTATGACATTGTGACCCTGGCAAACTATGACTTTGTGACCCTGGCAAACTATGACATTGTGACCCTGGCAAACTATGACTTTGTGACCCTGGCAAACTATGACATTGTGACCCTGGCAAACTATGACTTTGTGACCCTGGCAAACTATGACATTGTGACCCTGGCAAACTATGACATTGTGACCCTGGCAAACTATGACTTTGTGACCCTGGCAAACTATGACTTTGTGACCCTGGCAAACAATGATATTGTGACCCTGGCAAACTATGACTTTGTGACCCTGGCAAACTATGACTTTGTGACCCTGGCAAACAATGATATTGTGACCCTGGCAAACTATGACTTTGTGACCCTGGCAAACTATGACTTTGTGACCCTGGCAAACAATGATATTGTGACCCTGGCAAACTATGACTTTGTGACCCTAGCAAACTATGACTTTGTGACCCTGGCAAACAATGATATTGTGACCCTGGCAAACTATGACTTTTTGACCCTGGAAAAACTATGACTTTGTGACCCTTGCAAACTACGACTTCGTGACCCTGACTTTGAGACCCCGTCAAAGTATGACGTTGTGACCCTGGCAAACGTGACTATGACTTAGTTGTGAAACGACACGCCAACGGGACATAATCCAGCAATAGGACTAAATCCAAATAGCCAGCCACCTCCGGGCCAGTCGTGACACTGCCACAGTGCGACGCTTGGGTTCACCCCTTATCATAATGTACGATAGATACCGTATCGATGTCGACAAACGTGCTTACTAAACACGATCCTAGTAAGAGATCCGACCTCCCCCCCCCCCAAACCGCCCCCACCACACACGAACTAATCACGCCCCTGGCTAACATTTTTTAAAAAAAGAAGAAGAAGCTAAGTCGCAGATCTCCCTCAACTTTGTCCTGATTCGGGGCAACACGGCCCTCTGTGTAGACCTGGATAAGCCTGGATGTGCTGGTAGGCAAGGACGAGCTGATAAAGAGACCGGCCAGAGACTGACGGCGTGTTGTTATTTGAGGTCTTACGGTATTTCTCTATAATGCATCGGTTGAAAGATATGCAGTTATCACAAACAGGTGTATAGGCTGCTGATACAGGTGAGCAAGGTGAGAGGTAGGTGTAGGGCAAGACACGCTCGATACCAAATGTTTCAATGTACAGGTGAGTCTCGCCTCAGTCCGGTCGTTTTTTGGTCGTTGGTTTGTTGTTGTTTTATAATACTCCTATTTTTAGATGTTCACAGGTAACGTCCAGGTTTGTCGTTTTAGTTGCAACGTGTAACAATCACTGACCCACTTACAATCACTGAACCACTTACAATCACTGACCCACTTACAATCACTGAACCACTTACAATCACTGACCCACTTACTATCACTGAACCACTTACAATCACTGACCCACTTACTATCACTGACCCACTTACAATCACTGACCCACTTACAATCACGGAACCACTTACAATCACTGAACCACTTACAATCACTGACCCACTTACTATCACTGACCCACTTACAATCACTGGCCCACTTACAATCACGGAACCACTTACAATCACTGAACCACTTACAATCACTGACCCACTTACTATCACTGAACCACTTACAATCACTGACCCACTTACTATCACTGACCCACTTACAATCACTGACCCACTTACAATCACGGAACCACTTACAATCACTGAACCACTTACAATCACTGACCCACTTACTATCACTGACCCACTTACAATCACTGGCCCACTTACAATCACGGAACCACTTACAATCACTGAACCACTTACAATCACTGACCCACTTACTATCACTGACCCACTTACAATCACTGGGCCACTTACAATCACGGAACCACTTACAATCACTGAACCACTTACAATCACTGACCCACTTACTATCACTGACCCACTTATATCATGAGCTGTACATTTCGCAGCCACACAACCTGTGTTCATGTTCATGCTCAGTTCACACGATCAAAACTTTCGTCAAAGTTTCGTCAAATTACTTTTTGAACGCAACATTTTGTGTTACAGCATAGTGCGTTCAAACAAACACAAAAATCGGCCGACAATTTGACGACAATTTGATCGAGTGAACTGAGCATGCGTCGCGACACCCCTTAATCGAAAACATGTCAGCTGCGACCCGATACATTAAAATAAAATTTAAAAATGTGAACCGTTAAAGTAAACAACACACCCACAGAATAGGCGCCTTAAAATAAAAACAGTCAAGAACGTATTGTGAACTTACTTCAACATGTATTCAAGGAAACACCGCTTATGATTGAACAATTCTTTAAAAAAATTTTTTTTTGTTTTTGTTATTTTAAATATATTTTCTTTGTTTGAGTATCGTTTCAGTCGGCGACCCTCCGCGACCCCTGGGGTCTAAGCTACAGCGTCGCCGTGAGCACGCTAAAGTAGCATGGGGACGTGCGCTGCACAAACATTCAATTCGATTCAAAGCCAAAAACGAAATCAATAATAATACATGGGGGGCATGAAAAATTGAAAGACAGTTTAACTTATTTAAATAATATAATTTAAGTTCCCCTCCTCGGCTTATGATAAATTTTTTTTTAATTAGTTTATAGATTTTTCAAATGAATTTATTGATTGATTGGTATCCAAGACACATCCAATAGGCCTGCAGTCTGCATGTATAAATCTCATCTCCCATCCCATCAGCTGAACTCCATCTTCGATGACTGCGTGGTCCGATGATGAGTTCGGCCGTCTGGCTGTCCAGTCAGTGTTTACGCGACACAAGCCAGCAGACGGGCAGCGATGAGGGTCGGCTGCGGATGGTGTCGTGTCTGTGGCCCTGGTAGGTCAAAGGTCACAGGCGGCGCGTGCCTGTTATCTTTCATGGTGGCCGGGTTTTGGATTATATCGACGCTTCGCTCGCAGGTAAAACTTATCAGATAACAGTAAAACTTATCAGGTAACAGTAAAACTTATCAGGTAACAGTAAAACTTATCAGGCAACAGTTAAAATTATCAAATAATAGTCAAAGGTATGATAATGATATTATTATTAACCGGTTGCAGTATTTTTAATGATTTTTTTTTCTCCTTACATCGGCTCCGTGTATTTTGAGAAATAAGCCTAAAGTAGACTGTCCTAAACCCTACCTGCCGGCCTTTAAACAATAGTACTACGGAAAGTATATTAAAGCATTAAGTCTGGTTGTTCTTTCAATCGGATCTTTTCCATTCAATTTGTGTCAAGTAAACATCGAATGCTGTACTGTATCGGATCTCGTCTCATTTTGATTTTTTAGGACGGGACGTAAGCAGCTCATATCGTCCAGTAAAGATATTCCCAGTAGCCTCCCCTTTTCTTTCTTTTTCTCTGACGAAGCCAAATAGTTGCGTGAAAAAATCCACCGTCCCAAATAAAGGGCATATTTCCCCCATCCCCAAAAAGGTCACATTTTTTTCTCCACCGTCCGATATAAAGGGTACATTTGTCTCCACTGTTCCAGATAAAGGTCACATTTTTCTCTACCGTCCCAAATATAGGGCACATTTTTATCCAACGTCCCAAATGAAGGGCATATTTCCCCCATCCCAAATAAAGGGCGTATTTTTTCTCCCCCATCCAAAATAAAGGGCATATTTCTCGAGACTTCAAAAACATTCCGAGGGCCTGTATGTATCCACCCTTCCCATCCATATAAAAATTCAATTAATTTTAAGTCCATTATTTTTAATGCCTTGTTTATATGTTATAAACAGGGGGAATACCGAGAATGGACGCCAAGGTCACTGCCGACACGTGACCCGAGTGTAAAACATTTCATCTACGGACGAGACTCCGACGTGTACCTATACTCGGCAATAGCCAATGATCCTTCTCGGCGAGGCAACAGCTCGGCCACCAAAGATCAGCCAATCAGGGACCAGCTCGACATTGTCGTGACGACGCTGGACAAAGCTCGAGTCTCCTACGAGTGCTGCGTCCTCTACGGTGATCTCAAGCGGGTTTACGTCACGCCGGCGAGGGTCTACTTCCGCTACTATCCGACAAAATACTCCGTCGGGGCGCAACTGAAAGAGTACTTCCACCCGACGGTGTACGTGGCACGGCAGTTCAGCTGTTCGGTGCCAGTTTTAAAAGGGGCGCCCCTGCCCGCAAAAATTACGCTGACTTCTTCGTCTCAGTGTTCCTCCGATGTGAACGATTATCTGGAGGTGCTGTATCCCCCGCGCCACCCGGGGGGCCTGGCCGTGTGCGCTAAGATCGCCCACAGTGGCGGGCTCGACCCGGGCAAGGTGATCGAATGGTTCGAGATGCAACGCCTTTTAGGGGTCGACAAAATACTCATTTACGACCTGGGGAACCAGGAATCTATCAACACAGTCTTCAGGTATTACAGGAAATTGGGTATTTTGGACGTTCAGCCGTACGAGCTTCCAGGCACGCCGAAAGACAGATCTCTGAAGGAGGGGTTCAAGCGAACTCCCCAGTTTGTGCAGGATGAGACCATGGCAGTGCTGGAGTGCCGCCACAGAATGGGGGGCTACTCGTATGTCTTGAGCCATGACCTGGACGAGATGGTTATCCCAAGGGAGAACATATCGATCAAGACATTGTTAGAGGTGAGTGAACGCTGGATCGGAATTGTTATTTAACACCCCACCCCCCCACTTTTTTTTTCTTGCCCCTTGAATTAGTAGTGCCTCTAAACAAACATTTGATATTTTTCATACTGCACATAATGCACTGCTAAAATAAGGGAGAACATATCGATCAAGACATTGTTAGAGGTGAGTGAACGCTGGATCGGAATTGTTATTTAACACCCCCCCCCCCACTTTTTTTTTCTTGCCCCTTGAATTAGTAGGGCCTCTAAACAAACATTTGATATTTTTCATAGTGCACATAATGCACTGCTAAAATGACACAATGCTGTGACACATTGAGTTAGTCATCTCTACAGGCGACTTAAGGTATACGTACTACAGTGTGCGTTAGTACCGCTTATAAATATACAAGATTTGCATTGCATCTGATTCTGTCTTGCCCTCAGGAGAGTCTCGCTCTGTATCCCAATGCTGCAGGCTTTTACTTCTTTACCGAGTTCTTCATCCTCACCTGGGGACCAACTCACCCGGACGAGCGTCTGATGGTCAAACGTTACAGGTATGATACCATCAATAGATCAGGTAGATTATCATCAATAGAGGAGGTTGTCAGTTAGTGACGTACGATAACATTACAGGTACAGTGACGTACGATAACATTACAGTGAAAGTGACGTACCTTAACTTTACAGGTACAGTGACGTACGATAACATTACAGTGAAAGTGACGTACCTTAACTTTACAGGTACAGTGACGTACGATAAAATTGCTCGTTATAGAAAAAGGAAGGTCACCGTAAGACTGTTAGACTTATTTGGCAAGTCTGAGATGTCAAAATCTCGGTGACTCGCTGGTATCAGGGGAGAGACAATGGCAAAGCCGGGGGCGGGGGGGGGGGGAAGGAGCGCAATCATGGTAATCAATGTTAGTCACCTGTGCATACCGCCGTGTTTGTTGATCTCACTCATTAAAGGACTTGTGTATTTGAAAACCTGACCAAAAATCTACCTTCTCTCTTCTCTTTAAAATGATGTTCCTGTCTTTGTCTATTCGGAAGTCGTATGACGTCATCAGTTTTTATATTCACAATTTCCTCAGTTTGATGACGTGGTCACGTGTTCAAATGTTATGTTTTGCTCTGAAAGTAGACGTTGTAGCAGAACACAACACAACACTGTTTCACTGCAGGGTAACGTCATAGGATCAATTAGCTTTGTTGTTCCCCATTATTCTAGCCAAGAGATGTGATTTTTAAACAAAAAGACCTGAACGAGGTTCCAGTCTTCACACGACCACTGGTTCATAGAGCCGATGTCAACACACACACAGAGCTGATGTCAACACACAGAGCCGATGTCAACACACAGAGCCGATGTCAACACATAGAGCCGATGTCAACACACAGAGCCGATAACAACATACAGAGCCGATGTTAACACACAAAGCTGATGTCAACACACACGCAGAGCCGGTGTCGATACACAGAGCCGATGTCAACACGCAGAGCCGATGTCAACACACAGAGCCGAGGACAACACACAGAGCCGATGTCAGCACACAAGATGTCAACACATAGAGCCGATGTCAACACATAGAGCCTATAACAACACACAGAGCTGATGTTAACACACAAAGCTGATGTCAACACACACGCAGAGCCGGTGTCGATACACAGAGCCGATGTCAACACGCAGAGCCGATGTCAACACACAGAGCCGATGTCAAAACGCAGAGCCGATGTCAACACGCAGAGCCGATGTCAACACACAAAGCTGATGTCAACACACACGCAGAGCCGGTGTCGATACACAGAGCCGATGTTAACACGCAGAGCCGATGTCAACACACAGAGCTGATGTTAACACACAAAGCTGATGTCAGCACACACGCAGAGCCGGTGTCGATACACAGAGCCGATGTCAACACGCAGAGCCGATGTCAACACACAGAGCCGATGTCAACACACAAAGCTGATGTCAGCACACACACAGAACCGGTGTCGATACACGGTGTCGATACACAGAGCCGATGTCAACACGCATAGCCGAAGTCAACACACAGAGCCGAAGTCAACACACAAAGCTGATGTCAACACACACGCAGAGCCGGTGTCGATACACGGGGCCGATGTCAACACGCAGAGCCGATGTCAACACACAGAGCCGAAGTCAACACACAGAGCCGATGTCAACACACAAAGCTGATGTCGACTAGCAGAGCTCACTTTGCTACTGACCGAATTTGACAAAATATTGGGTTTGGCAACAAAAATAGATCAATTGGTCAGCTCTTGACAGAGACAGGGACAGAGACAGAGACAGGGACTGACCTGAAATAACCTTCATAAAATCGTGCAAAAATAACTTAAGACTTTAGATGAAAGGGGAAGCAACAATGACCATATTTATTTCTTTTTGTTTGCCACTCACTTATCATGGCTTATTTCCCTTCGTGGACACATTTTCATCCCTTAATCGCCTAAATGTAAGGGAGACGATTGCATGGGTTAGTTAGCTATTATTGTCCAAGTTTGCGGATTGACCAATGAAATCGTTTATAACAGGAAGACACGAGAGCCCAGGTGGGAGTGCTATAAGTATGTCTACGTCACTGACAGAGTCATCTCGATGCTGACCCATGAAATATTTCCCAAAGACTCTTACACAACGTAGGTATAGTGTACATAAGGTGCATTAGGTATAGTAGTTATGTAAATTATAGAAGGTATATAAGTTATAGTAGGTATATAAATTACAGTAGGTATAGTAGGTATATAAGCTATAGTTTGTATATAAATTATAGTAGGTATAGTAGGTATTTAAGCTATAGTTTGTAATATAAATTATTGTAGGTATAGTGTACATAAGGTGTATTAGGTATAGTAGTTATGTAAATTATAGAAGGTATATAAGTTATATTAGGTATATAAATTATAGTAGGTATAGTAGGTATATAAGCTATAGTTTGTAATATTAATTATAGTAGATATAGTAGGTATATAAACTATAGTTTGTAATATAAATCATAGTAGGTATAGTTGGTATGTAAGCTATAGTTTGTATATAAATTATAGTAGGTATAGTAGGTATTTAAGCTATAGTTTGTAATATAAATTATAGTAGGTATAGTAGGTATATAAGCTATAGTTTGTAATATAAATTATTGTAGGTATAGTGTACATAAGGTGTATTAGGTATAGTAGTTATGTAAATTATAGAAGGTATATAAGTTATAGTAGGTATATAAATTATAGTAGGTATAGTAGGTATATAAGCTATAGTTTGTATATAAATTATAGTAGGTATAGTAGGTATTTAAGCTATAGTTTGTAATATAAATTATAGTAGGTATAGTAGGTATATAAGCTATAGTTTGTATATAAATTATAGTAGGTATAGTAGGTATTTAAGCTATAGTTTGTAATATAAATTATAGCAGGTATAGTAGGTATATAAGCTATAGTTTGTAATATACATTATTGTAGGTATAGTAGGTATTTAAGCTATAGTTTGAAATATAAATTATTGTAGGTATAGTAGGTATATAAGCTTTAGTTTGTATATAAATTATAGTAGGTATAGTAGGTATTTAAGCTATAGTTTGTAATATAATTTATTGTAGGTATAGTAGGTATATAAGCTATAGTTTGTATATAAATTATAGTAGGTATAGTAGGTATATAAACTATAGTTTGTACTATAAATTATAGTAGGTATAGTAGGTATATAAGCTATAGTTTGTAATATAAATTATTGTAGGTATAGTGTACATAAGGTGTATTAGGTATAGTAGTTATGTAAATTATAGAAGGTATATAAGTTATAGTAGGTATATAAATTATAGTAGGTATAGTAGGTATATAAGCTATAGTTTGTAATATAAATGATTGTAGGTATGTAAGCTATAGTTTGTATATAAATTATAGTAGGTATAGTAGGTATATAAGCTATAGTTTGTAATATAAATTATAGTAGATATAGTAGGTATATAAACTATAGTTTGTAATATAAATTATAGTAGGTATAGTAGGTATTTAAGCTATAGTTTGTATATAAATTATAGTAGGTATAGTAGGTATATAAGCTATAGTTTGTAATATAAATTATAGTAGGTATAGTAGGTATATAAACTATAGTTTGTAATATAAATTATAGTAGGTATATAAGCTATAGTTTGTAATATAAATTATAGTAGGTATAGTATGTATATAAGCTATAGTTTGTAATATAAATTATAGTAGGTATAGTAGGTATTTAAGCTATAGTTTGTAATATAAATTATTGTAGGTATGTAAGCTATAGTTTGTATATAAATTATAGTAGGTATAGTAGGTATATAAGCTATAGTTTGTAATATAAATTATAGTAGATATAGTAGGTATATAAACTATAGTTTGTAATATAAATTATAGTAGGTATAGTTGGTATGTAAGCTATAGTTTGTATATAAATTATAGTAGGTATAGTATGTATATAAGCTATAGTTTGTAATATAAATTATAGTAGGTATAGTTGGTATTTAAGCTATAGTTTGTATATAAATTATAGTAGGTATGTAAGTTATAGTAGTTATAAAAATTATTCTAAACATAATATAAATGATAGTAGGTATATAAGTTATAGTAGGTATATACATTATAGTAAGTATAATAAGTATCTAAGTTATAGCATGTATAGTAGGTATATAGGTTATAGTAAGTCTAATAAGTATCTAAGTTATAGCATGTATAGTAGGTATATAGGTTATAGTAAGTCTAATAAGTATCTAAGTTAGAGCATGTATAGTAGGTATATAGGTTATAGTAAGTCTAATAAGTATCTAAGTTATAGCATGTATAGTAGGTATATAGGTTATAGTAGGTATATTAAATATAGTAGGCAATCGTGTGTATAGTAGGTATATCAGGTAAAGCCGGTATATTAAGTTTATTAGGAAAAGTACGTATAAGTATATACATATAAGGTATATTTGTTATAGTAGGTATAGAAGATATAGTAGGCATATCGGGTAAATTCATTGTATTAGCAATAGTAAGATAAAAAAATACGTTATAGTAGATAAATATCATATATAGTAGGTAAATATCATATATAGTAGTTAAATATCATATATAGTAGGTAAATATCATATATAGTAGGTAAATATCATATATAGTAGGTAAATATCATATAAAGTATGTAAATATCATATAGAGCAGGTAAATATCATATAGAGTAGGTAAATATCGTATAGAGCAGGTAAATATCATATATAGTAGGTGAATATCATATATAGTAGGTAAATATCATATACAGTAGGTAAATATCATATATAGTAGGTAAATATCATATATAGTAGGTAAATATCATATAGAGCAGGTAAATATCATATATAGTTGGTAAATATCATATATAGTAGGTAAATATCATATAGAGCAGTAAATATCATATATAGTAGGTAAATATCATATATAGTAGATAAATATCATATATAGTAGGTAAATATCATATAGAGCAGGTAAATATCATATAGAGCAGGTATAGAAACAAAATGGTCTGCATTTTGCCGTTCGTTGTTGAAAGTACGTACACCTCAGTTATCGCTGTGACGTAGTCAAAATGGCGGGTGTCGGCTTTGCTTTGAAAATACTTTCTATGGACGTGTTAATAAATGTGACAAAATCCTGTTGTGCCCTTGATTTAACATTCAAGTTTACATATAAAAAAATAACACCCTATCTAAAAGTGATAAGATTAACTTAACAAAAAAATATTGTCAAGACTGGCGTACATGTCAATTGTGTTTTAAGGAAGAAAAAAGAAACACGAGATTTTCTTATGTTTATCAATAACAAAAGTTTTACTTTAGAGAAACTCATATTTATCAATAACAAAAGTTTTACTTTAGAGAAACTCATATTTATCAATAACAAAAGTTTTACTTTAGAGAAACTCATATTTATCAATAACAAAAGTTTTACTTTAGAGAAACTCATATTTATCAATAACTAAATTTGGATAGCATAGAAACTCATATTTATCAATAACCAATTTGGGTATTATAGAAATTCATATTTATCAATAACTAAAGTTGTTGATCATAGAAACTCATATTTGCTGCTACCGCTGCTAGTGCTACTCTGTCATTCACATCGTGCACCGTTGTGTAAGATCTTTGTTAAGTTGAGTTTTTTTTTAGCAACATTTGTATGCCGGTGGTGAGCAGACATGGTAGGTTATATACATTGGCGTGGGAGTTGATGCTGATTATTCAACGGTTATTATTTTAAAAAATTCCTTGGCCATGCCATTACATCAACAGTATCAACAGTATAAACAGTTTCAACAGTATCAACAGTGTCAACAGTTTCAGAGTTGAACCTTCAATCTGTGTTGACGAATATTTACAAACAATGTTTAATTCCTCTTTCAGGGAGGTGCTGCCGCCTGATGACGTCATCTTACACCATTACCGCCAGTGCCCCAGCGACACGTGGGGCACGTGCAGCGTGACCACGAGAATCGATGACGTCATGGTCAGGTACAGAGACCTTGACGAGACGGTTCTCAAAGTGCGGATGGCCACGGGAACGAAATCGTGAACAAAAATACACTATTCCCAGGGCACGCTAAGACTCATCAACACGGTCGCTGCCTGAATGCAGGCGACACGCTGACCACAGGTCACTGCCTGCGCATCTGTTTTGTCATAGCTCCTATCTACCTGAGTTTTAATAATCGAACTGTTCCTTTGGTGTATGGGATACCATTCAACATTATCACCAGTAGGCAGCGCGTTCTAACCCATGAAATGCACATTATTGGTTACTTCATTATCTCACTTCATTATCTCACTTCATTATCTCACTGCATTATCTCACTGCATTATCTCACTTCATTATCTCACTTCATTATCTCACTTCATTATCTCACTTCATTATCTCACTTCATTATCTCACTTCATTATCGCACTTCATTATCGCACTTCATTATCGCACTTCATTATCGCACTTCATTATCGCACTTCATTATCGCACTTCATTATCGCACTGCATTATCTCACTGCATTATCTCACTGCATTATCTCACTGCATTATCTCACTGCATTATCTCACTGCATTATCTCACTGCATTATCTCACTGCATTATCTCACTGCATTATCTCACTGCATTATCTCACTGCATTATCTCACTGCATTATCTCACTGCATTATCTCACTGCATTATCTCACTGCATTATCTCACTGCATTATCTCACTTCATTATCTCACTGCATTATCTCACTTCATTATCTCACTTCATTATCTCACTTCATTATCTCACTTCATTATCTCACTTCATTATCTCACTGCATTATCTCACTTCATTATCTCACTGCATTATCTCACTGCATTATCTCACTGCATTATCTCACTTCATTATCTCACTGCATTATCTCACTTCATTATCTCACTTCATTATCTCACTGCATTATCTCACTGCATTATCTCACTGCATTATCTCACTTCATTATCTCACTTCATTATCTCACTTCATTATCTCACTTCATTATCTCACTTCATTATCTCACTGCATTATCTCACTTCATTATCTCACTTCATTATCTCACTTCATTATCTCACTTCATTATCTCACTTCATTATCTCACTTCATTATCTCACTTCATTATCTCACTTCATTATCTCACTTCATTATCTCACTTCATTATCTCACTTCATTATCTCACTTCATTATCTCACTTCATTATCTCACTTCATTATCTCACTTCATTACCTCACTGCATTACCTCACTTCATACCTCACTTCATTATCTCACTTCATTACCTCACTTCATTACCTCACTTCATTATCTCACTTCATTATCTCACTTCATTATCTCACTTCATTATCTCACTTCATTATCTCACTTCATTATCTCACTGAGATTAAGTTCACCAACAGACTGAAAATTAATTCCTTGTTTTATGTGACATTAATTTTCTTATTATTTTTTTTTTGTATCCTGACACCACAAATATTTTCCTCGGATATTTACAGATTACAAAACTGTCAGATTATGGGAAATGAGACAATGTCTAATGTGTATGTTGATTCTGTATGTGACGTATGGCCGGATCTAAAGCTGTCAGTTTGAGGGGAAAAAAAAAGGCTGACTGAAAGAAATGCTTGTCACAAGTCTACAGTAGTGTGTGCCTTAATTCTGGCATAAAAACAGGCAGAACTAATGGTCAATAATCTTACATTCGTCGAGTCTGCTCTGAGCTGATTGAAAGTAGTTCAGAATAAGACAAGGCGATTGTCTTCTATAAGTATCTGCAAAGACGACCAACACGACATTGATAAAAGAAATATTGGATGATGTTGGTCTAAATTGACCGTGGCCAAGTCTATTTTCATGAAGATCAGCCCTTAACAAATCCACAACAAAGATGTATAAATAGAACGTTACCAAATACAGTCAATAATGATTACTTTAAACCTAACACATTTTTCTTCTTTACTCAAACATTTCAAATTTCTTTGGTAGGGAGTAGTTCATGTGAAAATGTTGTGATGCATAACAATGTATAACAACGTATACCATCGTATACCAATGTATATCAATGTATACTAAAATTATACAAATGTACAATAATTTTTACCAATGCATACTAAAATATACCAATGTAAAGTAACTTTGACAAAGTTATAGTTATAAATTATTCCATGTACAAATGTTCGTCATTATTGAAGGATTAAGGTGAGTGTAATATAATATATAATTACTGTCGAACGCAGAACAAACTGACGTCAAACTGTCACTAGTGACATTGTTCAGAGAAACGGTTCAATTCTCTTGATTGACTTGGCTCAACATTTCGATGTACAAAAGTACTGGATTTTATTATATACTTTTAAAAATTCTTTCAATGATTGGTACAGTTCTTGTATTAATATTTTAAACTGTACAACCTTGATTGTACAACCTTGGCTGTACATTCTTGACTGTACATCCTTGACTATGCAAATAAATGCCATTTATTTTATCAATTTCGTTCTACAAAAGTCGATGGACTGTCCCTCGATGAGATGTTTATGTATTTGCCCATGAAATGTCTATGTACTTGTCAATGAAATGTCTATGTACTTGTCAATGAAATGTCTATGTACTTGTCAATGAAATGTCTATGTACTTGTCAATGAAATGTCTATGTACTTGTCAATGAAATGTCTATGTACTTGTCAATGAAATGTCTATGTACTTGTCAATGAAATGTCTATGTACTTGTCAATGAAATGTCTATGTACTTGTCAATGAAATGTCTATGCACTTGTCAATGAAATGTCTATGTACCGGTACTTGTCAATGAAATGTCTTTGTACCGGTACTTGTCAGTGAAATGTCTATGTACTTGTCAATGAAATGTCTGTTGGTGAAAAAAAGTATGTCAATGTTGTGGTCTTTTCAAGGTCAACTTTTCATTTAACCTCCCTCCCCACCAACGATATGTTAAAAAAAGACATCATAGTTTTAATAAGACCCCATATAAATTCCAACTATCAAATAACCATTCCTGTGATGCCACATTTTGTTATCTTTTTAGTGGCCTTAATTTGACCAAAGTTCGAAATATATTATTATATATAAAAAGCAATGGATTGTTTCGTAAGGAGATTTGTTTCGTTAGTGTTTTCACATCACCTTTTATGCATCTGGCACTGCATTTGAACACACATGCGCTACTATGATCATTTTTATTTATTTATTTTTTTTTTTTTTTTGTTTTTGTTTGATGGTGCGCATCCAACAAAAGAGCATCTTCATCTTTAATTCAACGACTTTGAAGTCATGACTTGGCGGGATGAAGACGTTGTTACCTGAGGTCAATATTGCCACTGTTAAATGTTTTCCTTATTTGTATAGCAGGTCGCCATCACCCTCCTACTCACCCACCCACCCACGTACCCACCCACACACACACCCACCCATCCACAAAACACACACGCCCTCCTGACTGAGTCACAGCCGATCTTCGAAGGTAGAGTTATATTAGTTCCCCTGTAAACAGACGCCACCTCCCACCCCATTTTTTAAATTTATGAATGTGTGCTCGTTATGAAAAAATGGGGGGGGGGAGGGTATCACGAGTGGGGAGACGACGGTGTGCATGTAGATAAACACTGAGGCAATATCGAGTAGTTCGCGTGGCATACATTTTGTTTTATTACAAAACTCTAACAACGCAAATGGCCGCTTGCTAGTTTCACATCGCTTCATCTCACTCCAGTGCTGATCACTTTACTTGTATAGATCTACATATCACGACGTTATTCATACTTTTAAAAAAAAAAAGAAATATAAAAAAAAAAAAAAAAAAAAAAAAAAAAAACCATACAGCCAGCTTGCATGCAGATTATCGTAAACAATAAATGAACATTTGCCCCTGGACCGCTTCCCTTCGCCTCACAAACAATTTTCATAAAAGGAAAAAAAAAGAAAAAAAAAAAAAAAAAAACATTTCATTTGTGTAAAAGCAAAAGCTTTAAAAAATGGCTTCAAAGGAATTAGACATAGGTTTTTAATGTTTTTGAAACAGAAGCACCACGATGTCACTTGTAGCAATATCATTCAAGTTAATTTTGTCGTTTTAATTATTCTAAATGGTGTACGACAGAGTTAAACAGTTGTCACCTTTACATCTCTGTCAATAAGATTCCCCACTGTATCCAAATAGTCTTGGGTTTCTTTTGTTTAAAAAAAAAACTCTGAATATTTCACCCTCACTGTGAGATCCAGCCCTACCGGACATGCGCCTTAATGATCCATCTTTACATGCGCCTTAATGACCCATCTTTACATGCGCCTTAATGACCCATCTTTACATGCGCCTTAATGATCCATCTTTACATGCGCCTTAATGATCCATCTTTACATGCGCCTTAATGATCCATCTTTACATGCGCCTTAATGATCCATCTTTACATGCGCCTTAATGATCCATCTTTACATGCGCCTTAATGATCCATCTTTACATGCGCCTTAATGATCCATCTTTACATGCGCCTTAATGATCCATCTTTACATGCGCCTTAATGATCCATCTTTACATGCGCCTTAATGATCCATCTTTACATGCGCCTTAATGACCCATCTTTACATGCGCCTTAATGATCCATCTTTACATGCGCCTTAATGACCCATCTTTACATGCACCTTAATGATCCATCTTTACATGCACCTTAATGATCCATCTTTACATGCGCCTTAATGACCCATCTTTACATGCGCCTTAATGATCCATCTTTACTTGCGCCTTAATGACCCATCTTTACATGCGCCTTAATGATCCATCTTTACATGCGCCTTAAAGATCCATCTTTACATGCGCCTTAATGATCCATCTTTACATACACCTTAATGATCCATCTTTACATGCGCCTTAATGATCCATCTTTACATGCGCCTTAATGATCCATCTTTACATGCGCCTTAATGATCAATCTTTACAGGTACGATCAGACCGTTGGAATTCAAAAAGTTCCTCGAATAATATTAGCTTAAAGGAATTAAATTTTGAAATAAATTTCTTTTGATCATCCATTAAAATATAAATTTGAACATAGATCTGACCACATATCCGATCATACTAATGAACATATTTCTGAACATACATATGAGTTTGTTATAGAATTCAGAACGATTCCGCCAGAATTTACTTGACATGAATCAAATAATTTATTTTATATATATATATATATATATTTATATATATATATATATATATATATATATATATATATTAGTTGATCTCATGACTCCCCTGGCCAAGAAATCCGAAAAAATCCGTTCATTATGGGAAAAGTGAAAAAAAAAAATCCATCAGGAATGTAACCAAAGCAAAACAATGACTACCCACGTAATCCCTCAATTCCACTATGTGGCGGGGCTTGCAGCTTGAAGGCAAACAATGAATACGCCCGTAATCCCTCAATTCCACTATGTGGCGGGGCTTGCAGCTTTGACG